ACAAGTTAATAGTGGAATAAGCATCTTTATCATTAGAATTCATGCCTTCGGTTCATCAGCCTTGCCTTTTTTAAAAATAAAACTTCCTGTTCAATTTTAAAAACTCATCAGAAACTTCCTTTACTAATGGAGATATTTACATATCGAAARGAAGAGTTTGTGATTCAAAGCATGTAAAATCTCAAATTGCTATATAAAAGCATTTTCTGATTTAAGTGTTAAACAATTTCTTCAAATGAGGAACTGGCTACAACAGTTTGGTTTGTTCTGTTTTGAGCAATTTGGATTTTATTTTACCTGAATCATTTTTTTCCTCTTGAAATATGAGAGACGAGAGAGATAGAAGAAAGTCTAATATATCTGCATACAAATACACAAAAATACCCAAACATTTTGTGACTGACACGGCACTGCAAATATTCAGGATTAAAATGATTTGTTTTTTTCATTAAAATAATTAAATTACGACAAAATTTTATTCACTCCAACAGTATTTACTGTGTATTTTCTAGAGATCCAATTAGGACACATACAAAACGAATACTAATTAACCTTAAATGCAGTTAAAACGTTTAATAATGATAAAAAATAACAATACATTCTTACAGTAAAAAAATATATGTGCATTACAACCGGATGGCTGCATTCCAACAAAGTACATCTTAGCCAGAAACACACAGTACATTATGCAATATAACTAACGCAGCTAAAAAACTATATAAATGAATAACTACTRCCTATATTTATATTTACCTGTGCTGCGCTCGAGCAGCTAGCCTGTTAGCTTTAAAACTAGCATAGCATAAACTATTTTCACAAACATACCTCTTGCAGTTATGATGTTTCAGCGTTTAGTAACAAATAGTTATATAATAAAACACGAAGTGTACTGAGGCTTCATTAGGAGTCAAACGGGAGTCTTCTTGTTAGCAACATTAGCAGTGATGTTAAGGAAGTGGAATTTCACACGCCGGTGTAGTTAGCATAAARAAATGACAAACACGGAATTATATTTTCTTCCTTTAAGAAGCGGCTTACTATAACGGCTCCGGATACACAACACCTCCCGATTTAAATGAGATTACAACAAACAGCTGGATTACAAAGCAGCTCGGTAGATGTTTCGCTAATGCTCAATAAGCTAACGAGCTAGCGCCAGCGCGACGCTAGCTCAGAATAATTCGTCTGCTTGAGTGGGGAGTCCAGACAGGGCGCGAGGCGACCTCCGGCGCACCGCAGCTCCGCTGCGAAAAATAAAGCCCCGTGTTTTTAAAAAACCGCACGCTAAACACACGAAGGTTTTCYTGCTGTCTGGTGTCAATTCCTCAAAATGGGGTCCGCTAACGTACGTCTCCGCCATTTTGTGACAGGTTTTTTCATTGAGCAAAGGGGTACGTGTAATGGTTGAATGTAACCCCATCAAGAAGATATATCCGCCTGGCAGTTGCTGCGAAAAGGGATCAGGAGTGATTTTCAGCCGCCCCGAGAGATAAAAAGTCGCTTTGAAAGAGGAGCGAGGGGACCGCGGCGGCTTACAAGTCTGCAGACTGCGTCAAAAATAAAGCGAATAAACAAGCGAACATTTTTGGCAACTCAACAAAATGTGTTGTTTACAAACATTAAAAACAATGAATGATTTCATTCAAACATTATTAATACATTGTAACAGATGGATGCCATATTTTAGAGATGCTGAACCAAGACAAAAAGCATTAAGTTGTATTAGTTATGCGAAATAAGTTTTATTCAAACGTAATGTTATTTTAGTTAAAAAATAATGTTTACATAATAGAAAGTTCATGATATATTGTTTATTTGTGGACTTTTTACTGTTTGATCAGTAAAGGAACAAACTCCTTTGTACGACTTTAAAAATCCATTTTAATTTTAAAACCATCAGTTGTCCACCATTACACGCTTGATTGGAATTTTAAAGAAGGTGGGTTAATTAGTCTTATCC